CTGGGAGATCAAAATTTGAGCGCGGGAAGAAGGATGAAGATGAAAAAGATCCAGGGTGACCCCTCACTATTCAATTTGGTACATTGCCTCCTGTTATGGCTAATAATTATTTACTAGCTAATGAGTTCAAAAGTAAGAAAAATGAAGAGGGGGAAAGGGAAGATAATGAGGAAGAAGCGTGTGTGCTGGAATGTGAAGAAGGTCAAACATCTTAGGAGGTATATGATGAAGAAGAGGACAATGACATGACTGACATTGAAGAGGAAATTGACATAGAAGCAGAGAGAAAAAAAAGGGGAGTGTTGCGCAACAATTTATTGAAGCAACTGTATGAAGAAGGTGTCTGCGAGGTGGATTTATTGGGCGAACCATCTGGACGTTCTTTTGACTATTATGTATTATATGGGACGCCCAAGAGAAAGGTAAGAGTGCCTTACTCTGAGAAATATGGGTCACCTCCAAAAATATTACCTCCCCATACAGGTTGGAAAACTGAAGAAGAAGCATTAGAAGAAAGTAAGGAGGAAATCCAAGAAACAGAAACTCAATGTGAAATATTGCACATGGACTTGTTACAAGGAAATAATTCAAAGGAGGATGAATAGAAAGTGGAAATAGATGCAGCTGAAAAGGTCATCTTTAAGAGACCAACTATGAAATTAACCAAACACTTGAGACTATTGTATGTGAAGGCCTTAGTCAATGGTATACCTATGACAAAAGTGCTCATCGACAATGAAACAGCCATAAATACCATCCCGTCCAAAATGATGAGAAAATTTGCAAAGACAGAAAGCGATATGATCCCAACAGAAGTTATTCTCACAAGTTTCAATGGGGGAGCAACTTTAGCTAAAGCGGTGATGCCACTGGACATAACTGTAGGAACAACTACTAGGACCACAGTCTTCTTTGTGATAGATGGTCCTACTAGTTACAATGTGCTACTAGGAAAATATTGGATTCACGGGAGTCGTTGCATATCTTCATCGCTCCACCAATGCCTAGTTTTCTGGAACGACAAAGGCGAAGTAGAAGTGGTGTAATCAGACCATAGACCCTTTGTCGCGAAGCAAACTCAGTAGAAATGTTCATGTACGAAGAAAATTATGGACCTGTCCGGGTAGTTCAAGATGGGGAAAAGACTCAAATTGTCGCACAGAGCAAAGAGTCATTTTCAATAGTTGCACTTACTGAAATATTCAATCAAATGAGGCCAAATATAGTGGCCCTTGAAGAGCCAGTAATTGGCAAAAAGATAATCAAGGAACTCTAATGAGTTGTCAACATCAAGAAAATATGGCCGATATTCAGGCTTTCAAAGTCAAATTAATGGCTTTCAATAAGGAATGTAAAGAGAAGACAAAAGAAGAAGTAGCATTAAAGATGTTGAGAAACAAATTAGTAGTGTTTGAATTGGAGTAGAATATTGACCGAGAAGTCAACAATGCTTAGAAGAGGAAGTGTCTACAAGGAACCTAGACGATGAAGTAATGAGGATCACAAAGCATGGGCATGGTCAAGCACAAGATCTTTTGATAAAGGTGAATATTGGCGACGAAGGGAAAGATCGCCCAACATTTATCAGCTAGATGCTTAGCCAAGAGGTAAGTAATAAATTAATCATTTTATTAAAGGAATACAAGAATTGTTTTGCTTGGGAATATGAACACATGCCTAGTTTAGATAAAAGTTTGATAGAACACATGTTACCGACTAAGCCAAGTTTTAAACCTCATAAACAACGTCCAATGCGTTTTACCCCTAATG